TCTTTCTTTCTTTCACTGTTCTGATTGGGTGTTTTATGCTACCTTGTTTCCAAATCGCTGATTCAATCCTCTGCTTCATCTAGTCTGCTGGTGATTCTTTCTAGTGCATTCTCATTTCAGTTATTGTATTCTTCACTTCTGACTGGTCCTTTTTTTATGCTTTCAATCTCTTTGTTTAAGTTCTCACTAAGTTTCTTGAGCATTCTTATAACCATTGTTTTGAACTCTATCTCTGGTAGATGCTTGCTTTTTTAGTTCTTTTTCTGGATTTTTCTCCTGTTCTTTCATCTGGAATGCATTTCTTTGTTTCCTCTTTTTGGATTCCTCTCTGTGTTTGTTTCTATGTATTAGGTAGATCTGCTATGTCTCCCAGTCTTTGCAGGGTGGTCTTATGTAGGTGTTCTGTGGGGCCCAATAGCACAATCTCCCTGGCCACCTGAGGTGCTCCAGGTGTGTTCATTATGTGGGTTGTTGTGTGCTCTTGGTTATAGTTGAGGCTTGAGTGCTATTGGCAAGTCAGTGGGTGGGATTGACCCTCAGGATGACTGGCTGTGGGATTTGACCACATACACAGCTTATGGACTGCTGTGGGGGAGGCTTACCTCACTGAGTGGAATTCACCCCAGTGGGCTCTGGTGCCTGTTGAGACTGCCCTTTGTGTGTGTCACTAATTGGGGAGTGCTCTGCTGTGGTCTGAAGCCAACCTCCAAGTATGTTGGTCTTGGGACCTCTTTGGGGGGCTCCGGTATGGGCCCAAGTTAGCCACGTGCCTGTTACCAACCGGGGGCTACCTTGTAGTAGCTACAAAGTGAACCACAGTTGTTCACTGCTTGTGCTAAACCTGGAAGCATGTGGGAGAGGCCACACTGCGAACTGAGGATGGCTGCTACCAGTACTGGGCCTGGGGTAACTCCGAAAAAAGCCAGGACACCTGGAAGCCTGCTGCCACCTGCCAGCTCCTTTAAGATTCAGCCACTAATAAAGCCTCATATGGTATGCAAGTTGGATGAAGCAGTGTCTCAGGGAGTCACTAGAGTGGGAAGAGTTTTGGTTACCAGGTTAATGTAGACCAGTTTGGTGCTAGTGCTGAGCCTGGAGTGATTCAGCAAAAGTCTCTGAGTACACAAGGCCAGTCTCTGCCTG